GGTCTAGACTGTAAAAACAACAACAGACATGCATCCGAAGACGGAAAATCAAAAAGAAAAGAGGGCTTCTGGCCATAAAACCAAAGTATACTAATCTCACGACTGCTTTCATTAGTTCCAGTTTTTCAGCGCCACGAAAACAGATAAACCTGTAATTTAATCTCAGTACGCGAGGGGAGGTACTGACTGTTGTAGAAAGTAACAATTACATTCTACCGTACGTATACGCTCAAGTAATATCAACGGCTAAGAACCAATACAGATTGCTTGATTTGAATTTGTCCCGTTTTATAATATATATTATAACAGTATGCGCATTATAAAAGACAACTGAATTTATACTGATGATACAGTCATCTCCAACTCTGTGTCTTCTACCGCACAATCTTTATAGTTAGTTAATTCAAACCGGAGTTTTTTGCCACCTCCTTACTCTCACATTCCACACGCAGAACTCCAGTTCAAACATCAAACGTTCAGCTTGATCGGGATAACTGGCATATTACTTTTTTATCATTCATAACTTTCATAATTCCTGAGATATATCTCATAATTCATCAAACATTTAACATGGAAGTCAATGGAAAAACTTTTCAGACTTGAAAAATCTTCATGCAACTTCAACTGCTAGCTGTTCTTTCATACTTTCACTCAGAAACCTCATTCCAACTTTAAAATGTTACACATCTTTCTGACATTATTCATAATAAACAACTTTTAAATCAGATTCTTACTTTTACAGATATTAAACATTGTTCAGACCTTGGTAAAGAGGCCTTCTTCAGATTTTAACATTAGGGTGTATTGCGCAGCTCGTTAAGGCTAGACTGTAACTCCAATGGACACGGTCCGATCATCCCCCAATCTTCACTTGTATATCACCGGTCCATGCCACAACTGCTCTAAGCCAAATCTGAGATCTCACCGTAGGCTGTTTCCATGGAAACGCATCCCTCGCCAAAAAACACGATGTTGTCGTTACTCATATGAAAATGGTCAAAACACCACCAGACTTAAGATGATCGCCATCAAGTTAGTCAAAAAGTCTACAGTTCAAACATTCTGCTGCTTTTCCAAGCCTTTTTACTTTCTTTTCTTCTCTCATCACACATGCAAGCCCCCAGTGTTCATGTATCATTTCAATCTAAATGATTCACTTTCTTCTTACACATTACACTTCAGCATAACAGTTTAGCGTCAGCTTTTCAGCATAAAGCATTCCCACTAGCAATTTCTTCAGGAATTGTATTGTCTAGTCTCCTATGCTA